TATATACACACACATATCTGTCGTGGATTCGGGTTAAGAACGCCCACATTGCAACCGGCATCACTTTCCAACCTGCATGGCTGCAGTAAGGGATGATGCTGGAGATTCTAAGCGTTGACGTTATCAGTTAATTGGGTTGTTAAGAAGCTTTCGCAACCGGTTGCAAAGTAGGGATTCTGGAAAGGCTTCTGGGTTGTAAAGTAGGGATTCTGGTTGTAAAGGGTTTCGGGCTTAGGGTTTGTAGGGTTTCCGACATTCGGGTCTGCGGGGAAGCTGAGCTACCCCAAACCCCAACTCGGAGACCCTAGAGCCCAATCCAAAGGCCAACATGCCCCACCCCAACGCACCCCTCCCCCCCGCCCCCGCGAAAAAGTGGAGCAAAAAGCCAAACCTGAAACAAAACAACTCTTCGTCCTTAAGCCCTTCTCAACCCTGACCCAATAATACCAGATAATAACCCTGAACCCTGAACCCTGAACCCTAAACCCTAAACCCCCCCTCCCCCCCCTTGCTGGTTCCTGTGCGAGGCAGGGCGCCGGAGGATTAGGCGATCGCATAGGGCACCAGCTGGCATCTCCAGGACCACCTTGAAGGAGCCTGGCTTGGCTCAGGGGGATGAGGGCTGTAGGGTTTAGGGTTCAGGGTTTAGGCTGTAGGGTCTGAGTCTAGGGTTTAGGGTTTGGTTGGGGTTTAGGGTTTAGGGTTTGGGGTTTGGGGTTGGGGGGGGGGGGGAGGGGTAGGCTTTGAGGGTTTAGGGCCTCATCCAAGAAGCGCTCCCTGTCTGCCTCGGACAGGCGCTTCGCCTCACCGTGAATCACGGGGACGCAGTTGCCAAATTCTTCCAGCACCTCTCTGTCGGCCGCACAACTCTCTCCTCACAACTCTCTCCATAAACTCTCCGGGCTCAGTCCAAAGCAAGGATGGACCCTCGAGTTTAGCGCCACGGTTGCAGCCGGAAGCCGGCGTCTTTGTCCTGCTGCGCGCCAAGTCGTGCAGCCGGTTCTGACACTCTACCAGGCCATTGGCCTGGTGTCTGCCAGGTGGTATATGGTCCTTGGCAGTCCCTGAACCCTAAACCCTAAACCCTAAACCCTAACCCCTAAACCCCACCAACAAGTTCCGGAAGTGGCCCCCATTGTCGGTCCAGCACATGGCCGGCAGCTCGCCTATTAAGCATAGAACTTGAGCATGGCTTGCTGGACGCGAGCAGCTGTAGCCTCGTGGAAGTCTAAGTCCCACAAAACTCTAAACCCTAAACCCTAAATCCTAAACCCTTAACCCTACATCCTAAGCCCTAAACCCTAAATCCTAAGCCCTAAGCCCTAAACCCTGAACCCTAAACCCTAAACCCTGAACCCAAAGCTTCTCAGGTGTCCCTTGGCTTACATGTTCTTGGAGCCTCCTTGTTGAGTGTTGGCTTTTTGTAGGGTTAGAGATTGAAACAAAAAAATAAACCCTAACCCTAAGGCTCCAAACAGACCAAAGTAGGTATTTTTTGTAGACTTCAGACTCAGACCCCAGTGTAGGTATTATTTGCATACTTGGCAAGCCTATAATGAAAGGGGTTGGGGATTGAAACTCCCAAGCCACACACAGAACCCTAAACCCGAAACCCAAAACCCAAAACCCTAAACCCTAGAACTAGGCCTTGGACCTATTGAGGCCACAGTCATCTCTCAGTGCTTGTGCATGAGTCCTTTTTGTAGCACGGCACCAGGGAAGATCCCCCAACAAGGGCCCTAGCTTAGAGAACTTCCCATGCGCCTTGCCCTCAAGTCCTAATTTGCAAAGCCAGCCCTCCACCCTCAAACCCCAAAAACCCTAACTCCTGCAACCTAAACCCTAACACCCTAAACCACAAACCACATACCCTAAACCCTAAACCCTAAACCCAAAACCCTAAACCTCCCCATGTTGGTACCTCCACCGGCTGTCTGGAATGCCACCTCAGATTACGACTGCCAAGCTCCACAAAAAAGGGTTTAGGGGGTTCCTGTCTTTGTTCGCAGGGCTTGAAAGGAATTTGTAGCTTGTTGCGAAGGAAAAGGGTGCCCGCTGAACCCAAGCCGTAACACAAAATCCCTAAACTCCAGGTGGCGCCACTGAAGCAGCACCCTAAAAACCCTAAAACCCTGAACGCCTTAAAACCCAAAACGCCCTAAACCCTAAAAAAAACCCAAACCCTAACCTTAAGTAGACCTCAGTTGACAGCGGACCCCTGAAAGGGACCCTCATTGAAGGCAGCCGATGACGGTTTAAGTCTCGGAGTCCTGCCCTTGGAATGCAGGGCTTACTTGGCAAGTATGACTGTACTTATAACTGTGCTTATAGGCACTTAAGGGGCTTATAAGTGGGTTATAAGTGCAGTCATAATTGGTTAATAAGTACCATGAACCTCCAAGCACCCCATGGATACGGATGAGAGTAGGGTTTAGGGTTTAGGGTTTGGGATTTAGGGCTTAGGGTGTAGGGTGCACCCCCAAAACCCTGAACCTCCGTCTAGGCCCGTCGCCATGGCATCGCGCGTGGGAATCCTGAAAGGCCGGGGCTGGGCCAGGAGTGAGGGGTTTCGGGTTTCGGGTTTCGGGTTTCGGGTTTCGGGCTTCGGGCTGCGGGCTTCGGGGTGTGGGGGATTCTATGCTGCAGTCAGAAGTAGGATCTAGGATTTATGTCTTAGGGTTTCGGGGCATTCTTGAAGTGACATGGGTAGTGACATGTAGGGCTGCGTGTACTCCTCAGGCTCAGCTTTGGACTTACTTTGTGTTAGGCTTTGTGGCTTGGGTGGAGGCTGTTTCGGATCCCATGGCAAACAACTCCTAACCCTATCCCTAAAGCCCCTCATGATCTTAAAGCCCTCCCCAACTCGTAGGGCCTACGAGGCAACCCAGACTGCACTTTGGGTTTAGGGTTTAGGGTTTTAGGGTTTTAGGGTTTTAGGGTTTTAGGGTTTTAGGGTTTTAGGGTTTTAGGGTTTTAGGGTGTTAGGGTTTTAGGGTTTTAGGGTTTTAGGGTTTTAGGGTTGAGGGTTGAGGGTTGTCCACACACAGCACCTTTGTGACTTTAGGGACCATAGACCTGCAGGATTCTGGTTGGGAACCACATAAGTTGGGTACTTGGGGTCCTCGTGGTCCTAGTGCTTCACATCCCGCACAGGAGTAGAACGACTTCGGGTCCAAAACGGCTTTTGAGGTTCAGGGTTTGGGGCTTAAGGTCTAGGGTTTAGGGTTTAGGGTTTGGGTTTAGGGTTTAGGGCTTCGGGGTTTAGGGTTTAGGGTGTAGAGTTTAAGGTTTAGGGCTTCGGGGTTTAGGGTTTAGGGTGTAGAGTTTAAGGTTTAGGGTTTAGTTTCAGGGTTCAGGGTTCAGGGCTTCGGGTTGGCCATGCCAAGCCAAGGCACCAGTTCGATCTGCACACAAGCTGAGCGCTGTAGACGTTGCCGGCGCCTAGGTGAAGGAAACTGCATGTTTAGGGTTTAGGGTTTAGGGTTTAGGTTTTAGGGTTTAGGTTTTAGGGTTTAGGGTTTAGGCCCCCAAAAAACAACCCCCCAAATAGTAGGATCCCCTTAGGTACCCCGAACATCGCAAATCCCCACACCACGGGACGAAGCTTTCCCCTAGACTGCTCCAAGTATACAAATAATATCTACTTGGCTGCACTCAGGAGGGTAGCTATAAATTAAACTTTTAGCTGCCTTATTAAGAAACCCAATAAACCCAACAAGGCTAAAGATGTAAAGTTACAGTAAAGCACCACAAAGACTACATTGGGGTCTAAAGTCTATAAAAAACGACCTGCTCTGGGCTCTTTGGATCCTTAGGGTTCGACTTAGCACACTGAACATAGAAGGGTACTTTCCCGTTTTGTTCCCCCAATGTCTCGGTGTGGGGCTGCTAGCTTTTTGACTAACTCTCCTCCTCGCCCATCACCCGCATCCCAGGCAAGAGTGTCCCCAGAGTGCCCAGCGCCCAAAAAGTTTCCAAATCTGAAGGGGGGGGGGGGGGGGGGGGGGTTTAGGGTTTAGGGTTTAGGGTTTAGGGTTTAGGGTTTAGGGTTTAGGGTTTAGGGTTTAGGGTTTAGGGTTTAGGGTTTAGGGTTTAGGGTTTAGGGTTTAGGGTTTAGGGTTTAGGGTTTAGGGTACATGAATTTTCTTTGCAGATGAGCTATATGTGGGCTTTCATGCAAATGGGGGTGCCCCCTCACAACCCCCCAGAATCCTAGAATCCTCCTGAAGTTCTCCAAGGTGCAGTTGAATTAGATAGGGTTCTAGGGTTCTAGGCTTTTAGGCGTTTAGGGTTTTGGCTTAGTGTTTAGGCCTTAAGGAACCCTAAACCCTAAACCCTATAGCCCTATAACCCAACCCTATAACCCTAAACCCTCTCACCCTAAACCCCGAAACCCAAAACCCAAAACCCTAAACCCGAAAACATGAACAGCTCTTTCACCCTAAACCCTAAAAATATAAAAACGGAAACCTGGGAACCAAAGACACCCCAAAAGATTTATGGTTCACATGACAAAACATAACCTTTCAAATGTGGTAGTATAGGGCATGTGACCCCTCAATTTTCGGGTTCATTTGCTTGACAGGGAACCCCTGAGGTCTAAACCCCAAGCATCTTCTTGGGCGCGAGCCCAAACTCTCGTAGACCTTCAACAGGAGTGGGACGTAGGGCGCGCGATGGTCTCCCACCTGACGTGAGGGCTTAGGGTTTATGGGGTTTAGGGTTTAGGGTTTAGGGTTTATGGCTAGGAGGGTTTAGGGTTAAGAGCTCAGCAGCACGGCTTACGGGTTTAGGGCTTCTCAAGGGGCCCACGAAGTGTTCACCAGGTCCAGGGCTGAAGGCGTGCGGAGGCTTTTCAACCGTTTAGTGCGCGAGGTTCAAAGCTTCAGCTTCTCTGTCTAGTGCGACGGCGAACTCCAACATGCATCAGCAACAACACCTATCAGCAACAACATCTATCAGCAAGTTGCTGTTCCCTTCCGGGCGTGCTGCTCACGAGGCTACACAAAGATCTTGGCGGTGCCCTGGATGGACTCCCTGCACACCGGGCATGCATCCACGTGCGAGGCTACCAGGCACGTGGCGCAGACGCACAGATGGCCACAAGGGAGGAAGGCATGGTCAGATGGCAAGACCAAGCACATGCAGCACTTTTGCACCTGTGGTAGTTCGCGAGTGGCTTGAAATCCCTGCACGTGGATGTGAGATGGTACAACCACACCTTCTTCTCCAAGCCCGTTCTGCATATCAACCACAAACAAACTCTTGCGCGTTCCTTCTTTCAGGGCGGTGACTCCGTGCAAGACAGCTGGAGGATGCTGACACAGAGAACCAGCCGAACGCTCCAGCACATGCAAGCCACCCATGACAAAGAAGCAGAGCCGCCCGCCGTTGTACTCCCAAGGTTCAGACAAGGCAACTTGCACAGTACCTGTTGCATAGCTACCGTCACAATGGAAATCGATGCAGCCGTTGCTAGGTCCGCGCGTCATGCGCAGCACGACTTTCGAACGGCCCTTGCCAGGACCAGGAGTCCCTGGAATGGCCGCGAAAGCCTCCCGCAGCAGACGAAGAACTTCTTGGCCGGCGGATGAAGAGATGGAAAGCAGGGACAGGAAGACATCGTCGTGTATGTGCATGCGCAAGTCAACCCTAGGAGACGCAGCAGCCTCTTGTCCCCACATGTAGTCCAGGAATTCGGACAGGACTTTGCGAACCAAAGGGTCGAGAATCCGGGCGTCGTCCTGGAAAGCGAAGGTGTGGAAGGCCGAAGCATGTTCTTCCTTGGCCTTCTGGCGCAACTCTGGTAGAGGTACTTCTGCCGTTGCCCGATCTTCGTCCGAAAGCATCAGGAATGCAGACAAAGGATCTTCTGGTGCCCCAGGCCCGAAAACACTGATCATGCCACGCAGCCGAAAAACCAGGTGAAGAGTTGGCTCCTTCTGGATCTTGTAATCACATAGAGATCTGCCGTCCTCCAACTGCAAGCCAGTGAAAATTAACCGTTGCTTGTCAACCGGTATGCCTTCCTTCGCCAGTATCTTTTCTTTCACGCAGTCTATGGTATCCGACGCCTCCACATCTATGGTAATTGTCGCTCCGGTAAGTGTTTTCACAAAGATCTGCATGGCGGCTGAGGGCAAACTAGTATCTCGTAAGGAACGGCCGAAGAGTGATTTGTTAAACTCTTCGGAGCTACGTGCTTGGCCAAGCAGTCTTGTTGCTCAACCGTCTGAGCCAGCAAAGAAGTGCAGGTTTATTACAAGGGGCTGGCAGACGTGCCATGAGTTACCACCCCTTCCCGCTAAGAAAAAACTCTAATCTCAGGCGTGCTGCGTCCTCTACCTTACATTCCGTGACTTCACGGTACGTCTACTGCCGTGATCTCATCTCAACGGGGTCTACCGAGAAACCGTGACTGAACTCTAAACCCTAAGCAGCAAGTGATTTCAGAGCTCTTGCAGCAAGCCAGCTTCCATGAACAAGCTTCGGTCCTCAACCCTACGCAAAAAGCAACTTACTCAAATGACTGCTTGGTAGCCCAGGAACCATGCTCTAGCAAGAGTACCCCTTTGAGGGTTGGCTGCATTCAGGCGAACCCGAAACCCAAAACTGGGCAAAGGGGTACCACTAGGCCACCTTTCTCAGGTTGAGGGTTTGAACCTAGAAATCGCAGTGCCGCTGCGCCTTGGCAAGGCTCTTGCGAATTCTACTCCACCCCCGAGCCCTGTAGTACCCTTAACAAGGGCCCAAAGAGCACCTGATTGTGATCAAAGGGCATCTTGAAGGGCAGCCCTAAACCCTAAACCCTAAACCCTAAACCCTAAACCGGTTTGGTTGAGGGTTCGGGGCTTGGTGCTCAGGATATTTAACCTCGGCCTGAGGCTGTGTGAGTCGGGCAGAGGACTTTTTTTCTTGAGATCCTGACGCCTATAACATATATATATATATATACACTTACATATATTATATGTATATATATATATATATATATATGCATATATATACATATATACTATCCTAAACCCTGAGCCCTAAGCCCACACCCTAGACTGCAGTAAACCTCTAAACCCCTAAACCCCCTAAACCCCCTAAACCCCTAAACCCCTAAACCCCTAAACCCCTAAACCCCTAAACCCCTAAACCCCCTAAACCCCTAAACCCCCCAAAAACCCTAAACCCTAAACCCTAGCAAACCGAGCCTGAGTGATGCGGGCGTCGGTCTGCTGAGCTGCAATGAAGATCTGCCCAGAGTTTTTCAGTTCAGGGGCCCGAAAACCAGAACTCTCCGTGAACCCGAAGCCTAAACCCTAAACTCCAAACCCTAAACCCTAAACCCCAAACTCTAAACCCTACCCTATAAGCCCTACACCGCAGAGCGTCTGCCCCCCCCCCCCCCCCGGCCCCCGCCGCCGCCCCACCCTAACCCCCCTTCATACTCCCCCTCCCCTGGCCCTACAAAACCCCCATAACCCGAGGCTCAGCCCTTTCCTGGTTTAGAGGTGCAATCTTCTGAAGCCTAACCCAAAGGGTCCCAATAGCAAAGTAGGTAATATTTATAGACTTTACACCCCCAATGTAGGCATTACTTGTATACTTGGAGCCCTAGGATAAGGCCCAAAACTCTAGACTCTAACTTGAAGGGTTTGATGTGTGGGATTTTGAGGGGTTTGTGGGGTCGCAAGGTCACCTCCTTTCTGGCGCTTAGAGTTTGCTTGAGGACCAAATGAACCCTGTAATTTGAGATCGCATGTAAACCCTAAACCCTAAACCCTAAACCCTACATCCCTGCATTGCTAGAATCCCTGTCAAGGTGCGTGGACCATAAACCCACTTAGTCTGCCGCTAGTCCCCAAGGTTTAGCGAGCCCTTTACCATTTGCCTTAACTGGCGGGCCTCGCACGGGGCCGAAGGAGTTTGCACGGTGATCTCTGGGGCGTTGACCCTTGGGCAAAGGCTGTGTCGGGGGCTGGGCTATAATGGGGCTTGAATTGGGGGGGCCTGGGTTAAAGGCTAATTATACAGACCCCCGACCCCGAAACCCTGAAGCCTTACTTGAACCCCTATGATTTTGGCTACAGTTCCCATTTGGAGGCCTTGCTTTGGGCAGCTGCGTTTTAGGATTCTTTTCGGCTGCGTGCCCCGTTTTTTGGGGGTACGTAGCACCCGAAACCCTAAACTCGAAGCTTAAGGCCCGGCTTATGGGGAATGGGGGTTTATAGGGCTCATGGCGGCGTAAGACAAAGAAGCCAACAAGCATGAAGCACTCCCTAACCCCCTCGTTCTAGCTTTTATGTCCTGGAACCTACAAGCTACTCGATTCCCTCTATGTCGAATGTGGCACCTTCAGTCCCAATGCCCTCCCGTGTTGAAGCCACAGTAGGACTGGGTGGCTTCGAAGCCTTCGAAGCCCCCCCCAAAGTCTGCAACCGAGCTGAGGGGTCGCGGTTGCATAGGGCGGTCACCAAACCCGGCTGAACCTCATCCACAAGCAAATCTCTACTGCCCACATCCGTTTAAGCTCAGACTGCAGGTCTCATCGACATTCGGGGCGTCGAATGGCAGAACTCCTGAAAGGGTGCGTTTAAGGGGCCAGCTTTACCTGAAACTTGTTTTTGGCCTGCCACAAGGACATTTTTCAAACCCATAGACCCTAAATGCATTTGCAGGATTTGAAAATCAACAAACGCACCAGGGACCGCATGCCCTTGAACCCAACATGGTCTAAGGTTCAAGATTCAGGGAAAACCCCCTAAAAACTTCATCAGCCAGCCGACAGCACCAGCCCCCATGATTCCCGGAATCATGAGCCTCACGGTACACGTCGGAAAGCTGTTGCTTGCCACCAGGCGCCAGATTGCCCGCCAGACTCAAGACCCAAACTCGAAACCCAAACCCTGCAGCCTAAACCCTTTCCCTAAACCCTAAACCCTAAACCCTAAACCCTAAACCCTAAACCCTAAACCCTAAACCCTAAACCCTAAACCCTAAACCCTAAACCCTAAACCCTAAACCCTGAATCCTAAACCCTAGAGCCTCCTAGAAGTGCTAAGCTTCCGGCGCAGCTATCTGCCCTGGATTGGCGAAGACCATTTCGAAGAATAGCGGCTGAGGGCCTCCCGTCAGGAAGGCCCAAGGCTTACACTTGCCGGGGGCGGGGGGGGGGGGGGGGGGGGGGGGGGGGGGGGGGGGGGGGGGGGAGGAGGGGGTTAGGGTTTAGGGTTAGGGGGTTTTAGGGTTTTAGGGTTTCAGGGTTTTAGGGTTTTAGGGTTTTAGGGTTTTAGGGTTTTAGGGTTTTAGGGTTTTAGGGTTTTAGGGTTTTAGGGTTTTAGGGTTAGGGTTTTAGGGTTTGGGGTTTGGGGTTGGGGTTTAGGGTTCAGGGTTTAGGGTTTTAGGGTTTTAGGGTTTAGGGTTTAGGTTGTAGGGTTTAGGGTTTAATCCTGGGCCCTTTGTAAAATCTCCACAAGGCCTTTAAGGCTGCAAAGCTCAGGCTTTAGGATTTGTAGGGTTTGTAGGGTTTGTAGGGTTTCTATAGGGTTTCTAGGGCATTGTAGGGTTTGTAGGGCTGGTCGGGTTTTAGTTAGGGTTTGCAGGGTTTGCCAGGGTTTAGGGTTCCATAAAGCTACACAGTTCAGTCGGGTTTTGGGCTTCGGGAAACCCTAAACCCCTAAGCCCCTTATAAACCCTGAAGCCCCAAACCCCTCAACCCCTCAACCCCTATAACCCCCCCAGACCTCTAAACCTTAAACCCGAAACCCTGAACCCCGAAACCCTCAACCCGAAACCCTGAATTCCCCGGGTTGAGAAAAACTCGTGGCACGGGGAGTTCAGCGGGTTCCAATAACTATGAGGATCTCCGAGAATAGGGGTACCCCTATTTGCTACATAATCCGTTTAACCGAGCCTCCAAAAAGGCTACCCCTATTTTCGCAAACCACCATATGAAGTAGGTTTTTTTTTATTTCTTGTATCCCCAAGAGGACACCAAGTATATACACTCACCAATGTTAAAAAGGAGCCTTATATACACTCACCAATAACAGTAGTATAAACCCTGCTTCATTTAGGCTCACAGTTGAGCCTGCTGCGAGCTCCGGCGAGAGCCGGGGTGGGGGCCTGGCAGGGAGGATGCACATGCACATGCATGCATATATCATGCGCGTACATGTGCGCACATGTGTATATCCATTCGATGCATAGTATACAAATGTCTACGCATAGACTATGGACACTATGCGTGTTGTGGACATGGGCACGCGGCTGATGGGTATTGGGTATGCATGCATGCATGTTTAGTTGTTTTTGTTTTCGTGTCTTCTGGGGTGGGGGTGGGGGGTGGGGGGGAGTTCTTTTCGAGGGTTTAGGCATTGGGGGACATAGCTTGGTGAGCCAACAGATGCTGTCTTCCGGCTTGTTGTCCACCTTTTCTCGGGGAAAAAGAATCGTGGGTGGGCCTGTCTGTTTAGCATTACGGGCCCGGATCCTGAACCCTGCCTGAAACCTACTAACACCTAAGCCTAAACCCTGATACCTAAAACCCCAAACCCCAACCCGAAGCCTAAGCTCTAAACCCTCAACCCTGGGTTCCTTTAGGAAAGCCGAGCGTCCCAGGCAGTCGCAAAGCCAAAGACCCCAATACCTGTATCTGACATGTAGCTTGATGTAGGGCTTGGGGCTTCGGCTTGGTACCCAGATTGCTTCAATCTTCCCCCCCCCCCCCCCCCCCCCCCTCGGAAAAAAACAAAAAAAAATCGTAGTTTGCATGCTTGAGCGAACCCTAAACCCTAAACCCTAAGCCCTAAACCCTAAAACCCTAAACCCAAAAACCCCAAACCCTAAAACCCTAAACCCTAAAATCCTATAAACCCTACAACCCTAAACCCTAAAACCCGAATGCCAGGCGCTGTATCCAGCAATGAGCCGGCAGCACATGCCCGCGATGCCAACATCTGGGCTGCTCGTCCTTTTCCAAGCCCGCAGACCCTACACACCCTAACCCTAGGGTTTAGGGTTTAGGGTTTCGGGCTTAGGGTTTAGGGTTTAGGGGGTTCAGGGCTCCAAGTATACATTGGAGTCTGAAGTCGATAAATGACAATAACCTGCTTTGGGCTGTTTGGAGCCTTAGGGT